AAAAAAAAAAAAAAACATCGATAAGAAACGCCATAGCGAAAAAAGAGAGAAAAAGATAATACTCAGTGACGTTGTTAAAGAAGAGATACAGATAATAATAATAATAATAATAATAATAATATTAATAATATAATAATAATAAAAAAAACGAAACAATTATATATATATATATGAATATAATTTTAACGTCTTTAAGATCGGTGAGAACACTTGATGAACTCTGAAAAAAAAAAAAAAAAAAAAAAAAAACTCGGCCTGTGTTCGTCGTGTGTTTTACCGACCGGTCGAAAACGGCCGAATTCTTCGGAACGAATTATTATCTTTTAGATAATACGCATTTATTATTATCCCCATATTTTCTTCTCTATATTTTTTTATCCACGTTTGCTTTTGATAGCGATCCAGCACTTCCGGTGTTCCGAACGGATTCGCTCGTCTTCGCAAACAATGTGAAAAGCCACGGCAGATAATAATTATATATAGGCGATAGATGTATAATTATCGTTAATGTTTTTAAACTTTATTCGAAGTGAATTGTGCGCGTGAATTTTTCGGGGCGGCCGGAGGCCGACGAAATCCGACGTTTATCTCTTCGACGGAATCGAGGGAGGAAGGTGACGTGTTACGCGAATAGGATTAAGCTCAAGTCCTTGAGGTGTTGATAAAAATAACGAGATTCCATTTCCTTTACGATTGGACCGTTGTTACGTTTGAAGAGATTTTTTTTTTTTTTTTTTTGATAATCGAAGATGAAGATTTTAATCGATGATATGGAGTTGAAGGGGGGGATTAAGATTAATTCGATACGTTATTTAGTACACAGTATTCAAAATAATACGGGGAATAATCTCGTTATTTTTATGCAATTTAAGGCATTGAACACCGAACTATCCGATCAGATCAGATATGTATAAATAATGTCTTAGATATAAATCTACTTATATATATATATATTTGTTCCGTGTGATCGATTGTGATCGTAACGGAAATATACAAATGAGGATTTCTCGATCCTCGAATTATCGAGTGAACTTCTATCTTGGGAACTGTGCAAAATGATCGAGCTGTTGAAAAGCTATTATTGAAAAAAAAAAAAAAGAAAGAAAGAAAGAAATTCGTACGCGTATTGTCGTATTGCATTCGAAGAAATGAGCGAACGAAGACCTTCGGTTGTTGTTTTCTCTCTCTCTCTCTCTCTCTTTCGAGGCTCGTCGATCGAAAAATTATATTCGTCCACGATGCTTCGAAGTTCCCACCACGACTTAAAACCACTTGATTTGTAACTTCGCCAATACGATTATCTTTTCTTTTTTTCCTTGTTAATAAGTTCTTTCGTATATTTATAAGCATAAATTTTTTCGTAAAAATTTTCTAATTTACTTAACATTTACTAATACACTTGATCGTATTGAGCGAAAAAAATGTATTTTATTTGCTGGCTTAAGTTTTCTAATTTTCGCCACACGACGCACGAAGAATATCGAACAAGTATTAAAAAAAAATGCCATAGATTAGGCCTCTCTCTCTGGCCGAAGGTCGCATCGATTGGCAGAAACGGCTGTATTTCTCATGCCCTTTTGTGATGTATTATCCCGTTAAACGATGAAGTAATTACATAATTAATTAATAAAAAAAACTGAGAATAAAACAGAGTTCGAGTTCTTTTTTTTTTTTTTCTTTTCTTCGGGACCACCATTACTACTTTCTTTGACGAAGTTATTCACGTTATGCACACGCGTCGATCGAATTATATAATATCCGATAACTGTAGAGATATTTTTTAGAACGAAAATTAAAAGGAATTAGTAAGCAAAACGATATATATATGTCCAAATTGTATCCCAAATCGATATATATATATATAAGTTGTTCGTTAAATTTTTAACTACTACGTTTGTTACCACTTGTTATATGCTTTATTTATCTTATATGTATATATATATACGTCCATAACTAAAAAAGAAAAAAAACTGTTGAACGCAAAAATTAACTGATTTATCAACCGATACGATTATTCTATATCGGTTGTGTATCGGTAATATTTTTGTATTGGAAAAAAATTGGGTAAGGAGAGGAGATATATCTGTTTGTTTCGCAAGGAAGGTTAATTATTAATTACTTCATTGATCATCACGTTGAGAAGAAAAAAGAAGAGAAAAAAGAAAACAAAAAAAAAAAAGTCTGTTAAACCGGAGAACGAGAGTTAGATAGTATAATTTAATTATTATTGTTACAGTATAAGGATCATATCATTATAATTAACTCTTTTTAGGCGTTAATTAAAAACACTATGTATTAATCGTAGCCCGTAATAACAAATGCTCCAAACAATTTATCATATATCAGTTCATATATCAGTTCGCGACTTTTCCTGTAAAAAAAAAAAAAAGAAAAAAAAATACTGGATATATTTCGGTACACACAGCGAATTGATATTACCCGATATTTGTTTTCTCGGTGATCATCTTGTTAAGAGAACGGAAGAGAAAAATAATAATAACAATAAAAAGAGAAAAAAAATATTACAGAGAACAGAACACTTGTCTTCTTGATATACATATATATATATATATATATACTATACATATATATATATATGTACATATTTATTTTCTTTTTTTTTTTTTTTTTTTTCCCACAACTCGATGATTTCAATTGAATTCGCGAAGGAATCATTATTCCTCCATAGATTTCCGTAGATTTCACGTTACCATGTTTACATTAATAACCGCTTACATAATAAATTATGTCACGTTTTTGCATGCAACAATAGAACACGAGCCGGAAAACGATATAGTAATAATAATAATAATAATAATAATAATAATAATAATAATAATAATAATAATAATAATCTCCTTCCCGAATAATAATAATAATAATAATAATAATTCGTATTTCGAGATTTCGAGATTCCCCTCGAAATTCGTTGGCGCGCCCACTCCTTTTCCCTTTTCGCAAGTTTCTCAAAGTCCCCCTCCCTTTCCAAAGATTCGAAAAAGAAGCGAGGCTAGAAATTTTTCCCGGTTTTGATACGTTCCGAGGATAATGTTTCCCTCGAGTTGCGAGTGGACAAGTTCGGCGAAGCGAACCGTTGGTCGATATATCCGATCAGAAGCGGCGTAAATACGCTCACTCCGCGCTCTGATTTGGTCACTCACGGGATTTATCGATATCGGTTGTCCGTGGGCGGAAAGAGGGACGGGGTATCTCTCGTCTCTTAACGTATACAAGCGTGCGGTCTTGATTTTTTTCTTCTTTTTTCTTTTTTTTTTTTTTTTTTTTTTTTTTTCTCTCCTTTTTTGAACGTATTGGTGAACGTTTGCAAATCGATGAGCGTGTATGCGTGTACATTGAACGCGGTCTCGGAAGATATCGCTAAGTGGTTGCCGATATAAGGAACGGAAGATCAGTCTAAAACCACCTGTCCTCGAAGGTGGAAGCTCTGTAAGCTCTTCTAAGTGGTGTTTTTCTTTTTTTTTTTTTTTTTTTCTTTTTTTTAATCTTCCATCCATCGATCGATTCGAATAAAATTCGAAAAGTGATCTCGATCCTCGGCCCCCCGATCCCCGAATCGAGGGACAAAACGCGATGATGGAGCGATTAAAGAGGAAACGGAAGAGGACCGACGGTCAGAAGGTGAGTTTCTTTTTTTTCTTTTTTCCGTTTTTTTTTCTTTTTTTTTCTATCGTTCGCGCTTTACTTAAAGTGGCATGGTATCTCGAGAAGAATGAGATCGATAACGATTTTAATAGGTTTTATAATGGAACCGTGTTAAGACAGCGATAAGAATCGTTCGAACAATTCCGCCGAGAAACTCGCGCTTCGTTGTATTTGCGATTGGATTCGAATAATTTGCGAGGAAGAAAGTTTTCCAGGATTTTTTCTTTTTTTTTTTTTTTTTTTTTTTGGGAGGGGAAGGAAAGAATCGGAATATTTATTGTTAATATACGTGTATTTTTTTTAAGTATATTATTAAGTTGTTATAACAAAATTCATCATGTGCGAACAAACCAAAGTGTAACTTACGTAACTTTGACACTATTCAACAATTGACACATTGATTTACACCCGTTTTAAACTCGTGTTATGTTTTTTTCGATCCATTTAAGAATAACACTCGTTAAGGAGAAATGTTATCGATATATTATATTTCTATAGGTAAAAAAAAAATATATATATATATATACGTGTATATTGATCAATTTTGTAATGGGAACGGTTAAATTAAATATTACTTTTTGATAAAGCATAAACGATGAAATCTATTAAAAATAGAAATACTTATCGTAAATCATTTTTACTCGAGGAGCTTGCCTCTTCTTATCTTAATCGTTCTAAACTAAAGAACTTACTTAGCCTCGCTAGTTAATCACTCTTCTTTTAAATTAAAAAGGTGTTCACGAATATGTGAAACGTCGTAAATTTAAAATAATAATATCAAAATTTTTCTTCCCTTTATTTTAGTTAAACCGCCTTCAATGCGATCTATCTGGATTATTGCTGTTTCTCTTTTCGTCAGATACTAGGCTTTTTCATCTTGCAACGAAAACTGAATACTTAAATATTGTCACCAAGTGAGAAATCATTGATTTTTCAAAACACATTTAAATCCAGTGCTAATATAAATATCCGAATGGAAGTTGCATAATTTCTATTTAATTTATTATTTTTCTTCTTTTTTTCTCTTTAAAAAAATCATTGTGCAAATAGCACGATTAAATTAAACTTTGAGAATTTATATTGGAAACAAAATTGGATAAATTTGTTTTCGACAAGATGTCTATAGTGTTACAGTTTACCAAACGCGAAATTAAACGCAAGGATAATAAGCATATCAGCATTTTACATAATTTTTATTAAATTTACAGCAGAACGTATATAGAAAAATATATACGAAAGAGGAGAGGTTGGAATAAATTCAACGGGGGGAGGGGAAAATTGGATCGAATTTGAATATTTCGTTCGGTAAAAATCGCTTCGGTTTCACAATTATAAATATAATTTCGCGCGATGAATTGACATGCGAAAGAATCGTAATACCACACGAATGAGATCATCCGTTGCTAATTTTCCTCATTGTTGCATACCAATTAAAATATCCTGCGAGATTTTAATACTAGGTTAAGAGCGGGAGAAACAATAGCGGCAGCGCCGAGAACAAAAAAAACGTATCGTTTGCCGGGTACAACACACGCCTTTGTGATGGTGATTCCGCTCGTTGAACTCTAAAAATATTTACTATTTCATCGGTAATCGGCCTCGTTTACGCGATTAAATGACGAATCGTGTCCTCTCGTCGAGGCGAGAATTCGTCTCTTCGACGAAAAAGATGCGAAAAGATATCGTTGCTATGTAACGCGGGTCATGGATGCGATAGAGTCGACACGATTGTATTTTTATCGTACGTAAACTTCTACTCTCTTTTATTTATCGAAAGTTCATTTTCTATCGACAATAAACGATAACGAACGAACATCCAAGGAAAATCTTTCGTTTCCTTATCGTTGGCCAGTTTAAATACCGTTGTATTATGCATTCCTTGGAATAGTTGTTCGAATCGTTGTCTCGTTAGAAAACCCTGTTCGTTGCTCCGTCGAGCGTAAACAAGATATGGCTCCCCTTGATAGTGCCGACTGTGTACTACATTACCGGTTGTGTATAGTTTGCAAATATATATATATATATTCACATTGAGTTGGAATGCAATAAACGTAACGTTTAAATCCCTTGATTGTTCCTATATTTGCTCGTGTCAAATATAGAAATCGTATCTTACAGTAATATATAATATCTTTAATTATACGAATTCGTTTACCATCCTCGACTATATCTATATATTTATATACACTTCCGTGGAGATCTTTTTAAGATCTTTAAAGAAGGGGGATTTAGAAGAGAAAATCGTATCATATAATATACATCTTTAATTACGCGAATTCTCGACTATATCTATGTATTTATATACACTTCTATGCGGATCTTTTTAAGATTTTCAAGAGGAGAGAATTAAGAGAGATTGATCTGAAATTTTAATAGAAGCAAATGTGATAACATAATGTGTTACGTTATCAATTTTCATTATGTAATTCGAATATGTAATTTCCGATACTGTTACTTTCGATAATTAATCGAAAATACAATATTGTATTAATATCGGAAAAATTTCGACTCGGAATCCCTCGTCTTCTCGCATTTTTCATTAAATCGACGAAAAATAACGGTAGAGAGAGATCAATTCAATTTCTTTTCCCACACTTCGAACGTAGAACCGTTGAAACCGAGAAGACGTTCTTCCTCGTTTTCACCGCGATCCAACTGACCATGCGGTGCCACGCATGACTTTAATCAACTTTAACTGGCCAACTCCCGCGATGCTATTCTTCCGATTCTGCCTCCTCCCCCCCCCCTCCCCCTTCCCTCCTCCGTAACGCACATTCTCTCCATCCTTATTCTCTTTGCGCAGAAAGTATTGCTCTCCATCGTCGATCCCTGGGACGTGAGCGTGGCCAGTGTCGATCCAGTCGGCTTGGCAGAACGACGAGGCGTTTCCCTGTCTATCTTAGTGCCGCAAGAGGAGGGAAACGCGGTCCAGGAACCATCAACACCAGGCAGAACGGTCAAGATTCCCTCGCCTTGGTACAAACCTGCCTACAACAACGTCGCCGACCGTTTTCCAACAAGTGGTCAAATCTTCGAAACGGGCTCCTCTTCCTCCACCTGGGTGGATCCTTGGCACTCTTCCAGCAGGTAAAAAAAAAAAAAAAAAAAGAGAGAAAGAAATATTGTTTCCCCCTCCTTGAAGTTGAAGATCGAACGATTATTTATTTAACTTCTATCTTGAGTGGAAATTCTCGATCGAGAAGAAAATATTTCTTCGAGGATTTCTTGGATTCAGTTTCTACGCAAGGTGAAACACGTTACGATGTAATTATAGTACGGTAGATTAATATCTGCATATCGGTATCAGGCGCAATTTGCATCGATCCAGAAATCCTAGTAGGTTGATATTCTCTTCTTCCAAGGTCCAATTGATACAGGTGTCAACCGACGAATGGAATTGACGCGCAGAAAGCTCTTGCGTCGATGCGCAAATCGTAATAGGTTTCAACTTTGCAAAGCTTTCAGAAATATATGCACGTAAAAATACGTCAAGAAACGTTTATATAAACATTGAAAATTGATAATTAATTTAATAATTAATTTAATTGTATACAAACTCGAAATTTATCAAATCTTCTTTTTCCATCGTTGTTCCTCGATTTCTCAGAAGCTTTACTTACAATAACAACACCTCTGATCCGATTTCGAAGATCGAGCGAAGGAGGGCAGCACGGTGCGCCGGAAGCGGCGCAGAAACCGATAAGGAAGAAAGGGCAGAACGAAGAAAGGCGGAGGAGAGACGGTGGCGGCCTGCGGAGAATCGCGGACGGGAATGGATTAATCGGCGCGCCGCCGGAAATCACGTGCGACGATTTCGATCACGACGGTGGAACGGTTGCGAGAGTTCGTTTCGAGGAGGAACGTCCTAGGTAGAATCCGTGATCTTCCAATCTTTCAATCGCGTTTCAATTTTTTTTCAAGCCAAGAAAAAAAATTATTTAATTTAGATATTATTTAATTATCCAATTTTTCTTTTCTTCTTTCTTTTTTTGAGCGTAGAAGCTCCACTTGGGGATCGCAATTGAACGAGATAAATCGTGCAAAGCGTAAAGTAAATGATAATAAGTCCTTGTCGAGCACGATTCATTTGCTGAGCGTGAGTCATCTCGGGAATTATAATCCGACGGACGAGAAGGAAAAGCTGTTGCAAACGAATTGCAATTCTGTGGTGGAAAATGTGGAGGAAAAACGTCACCCGTTAACCAAAGGGAATGAAACACTGGGTCACGGTTATTTCGAGGACGAGGAACTTGTGAACGTTGTGCAAGATTTAGTGGTTTGGAGGTACGTTGCGAGGAGTAAAATTTATATGTATGTCGTTTATTCTCGCGACTGTCGCGACTCGTGGCGGCAGATTGTTACGTGATTCTCTCATTTCACACAAGGTATAGTCCTGTTTTGAGCGGGACGCGAAGATCGATTAATAGGAGGACGCCATGTCAACGTTCTTACGAATCTCAGAAGGAAACGTCCGCAGTGGGTGAGTATATAAGCGTTATATAAAATTTGATTTATCGATATAATAATGAATAGTGTTATATAAAATTTGATTTATCGATATAATGATGGATAATGTTATATAAAATTTGATTTATTGATAATAAAAAAATTTACAAAATCGTATAGAAATAAAGATGAAAATCTAAATATTCCGGATGATATTTCGAATATTTACGTTGGAATCATGGCGAGCTCGAGGGGCAATTTTGGTTTATTAGGATTGTTCGTGATCAACCAATTGGCCAGCCACAAAACGGGATCCGCGGGTTTTAATTTGCAACACTGTACAACGAAATACTTTCGAACCATTATTTTTAATTGGTCAATTATTAACCCTTTCGTTACTAACGTGGCAGACTACATATTATCGCTCTGCATAAGATTTTGTTTTCATCATATTTGTTTTCCTCGATGATAAAAATCACCAAAAATAAAAGAAATGCCGACGATCTTTCTCGATGTGCACATTTTCGCGGAGAAATAGCGAAAGGGTTAAAATTTGACGAACTTTGATTGTTTCTTTTTATTACCATAGATAGAGCTTCCACGAGTATAGGATTGAGCACTTCCCATAAATAATCCTCCGCCATTTCGTCCTTCAACAGAGGCTCTACTATGACTATGTGCGTGATATAATAAGAAATGAAAAAGTTTCTCCAGAATAAAATTAAATACTGTAACCGGTGTCGTTGATGCATCACACACACATATATATATATATTATTATAATATATTATATAATATAATTATATAATATAATATTAATATATTATATAATATAATATTATAATATATATAATTTAATATATATGTATATTATAATTATTATATATATATATTATAATTATATATATGTATATATTAGAAACAAATTTAAATTTGATCGAACCAATTTATTTATTATTCATTGGAAGAAAACGACGCCGGTTACGAGAGATTATTAAAAATAACAATCCGTACAATCGGGGAAGAAAAAGTGTATCTCTTTCTCGGCACATTCCCGAGTATCGCTTCCGTGAACGGCGTTCTTAAAGTCATCGCCTCTCCTCCCGTACCTCGCCCTTATACTATCGGGATAATACAGACGCGCCTCCCCCACCTGAAACCGATCTGCAATCTTTGTACAAACTGTAACTTTGTTTCGTCGATCGTCATTTTCCGCTCATCACCGTTTAGAATTACCTTGGTCGGACCCATGAGCAATTTCCACTCGTGGATAGCGTTCTTCTTTCCCAGAACGTGGACAACTATGGGGCCCGAGGCCATGTAGGCGACAAGATAGGCGAAGTTCAGCTGGCCGTATTTGTCGGAATAAAATTCGGACACCTGTTCCGGGGTGAGTTGGAGCCAACGGGTTTGAAAAATTTGGAAACCCTCGTCGCGCACCCGCCTCTCGATCTCCTCCCTGTACACCAACGCTTCCGGCTTGATGATCATCAACGTGCACTCGATGTCCACCCTCTCCTCCTCCGTCAACTCCTCGTCCTCGATGCAGGGCTGGTAGGCGAACGGGGGACGCCATTCCTCCTCCCCCTCCCCCAAGTATTCGTAGCCTCGAGATGTGACGAATTTGTACTGCGTTTCCGTGATATAATTGTTGTTAGATTAGGGGGGAAAAGAAGAAAAAAAAGGGAAAAAAAAAAGGAAAAATGGAGAAAAAAGAAAAGAAAGAAGTCGTTGGATGAGTTGGGTAAAATGGATTATGATGTATGATATATCGGTGAGAAAAATTGTATGAAATAGAGAGAGAGAGAGAGAGAGAGAGAGAGAGAGAGAGAGAGAGAGA